TGCCTCCTCAGCGCGCTGCGAGCCCGTCGGTGAATCGTGGTGAAACGATCGCAGGGCGAAGGGCGAGTGTTACTCTTAAAAAAACAAAAACCGTTTTGAGGATTTTGTTCAGCCTCTTGTGCCGTTTCTTTCCTGCCTAGACAGGGCCCCCAGCCCTGCGGGCAGCTCAAGGCAGGCACAAGTGAGGCTCGGTATTGGCAGTGTGCCATTAAAGACGTGACAACTTCAACAGCTGGTTAAAGCAGCCCCAATTAAAGATGGGATTTTAAAGAAGCCAAGGTGTTACGAGTACAAAACTACTGCGTTTTTAGTGCTGTGAATTATTCTCAAAGCAAGATTTCCCAGAACGTCCTTCAGTGCTCTGCTCATGAATACTGACCACAAAATATTGTTTACCTGTTTGTGTCAAAAAAGTAACCTCTGTGTTTCCTAGCAAAGTAAAATGCCAGAGTATTTTATAGTAAAAGTGTAGAATATTTGGATATTTGCAGTAATGCATCTGGATTTGCACTATTGCATCTGTTTTCAAAGCTGATTTACAGTATCACGTAACAAACGTAAAAGCTGAGCTAACACTTAGGTCTTGTATGTAGCATGTTCAGTCTTAACTGGCGTTAGAAATGTTTGTGTCTGTTTCAGGTCTGAATAGCTCGTAATTCACATCATCATTTGCAAATGCCATGGAAGAGGGCAAGACTGAAGATGTCCAGGGTATTCTGCGACTTAACGTGCGAGGATATTTATACACAGCCAGGCGTGAGTCTTTGTGCCGCTTTAAGGATTCAATGCTAGCTTCTATGTTTAGCGGACGCTTTCCTGTAAAAGTGGATGAATCAGGTAAATACATTCAAGCTGTAAATACAACATTCTGATTAGGGAGCTCTGTGGCAAATACATCCTTTTATATATATATTTATGCATTTTGTAGTCTGTCTCTTTTCCCAATCTGCTGAACATTGGTTGGCTCCTTTAATTCCAGGACATAAAATGATTACGCATGCATGACTTAATACCTCACCTGAATTCCACAAGACTGCTCATGTTTGCAAACGTATATGTTTGGACAGTGCTTAGCCCTGCCTTGTCCCACTCCAAACTGTGGCTTTGGAATGTACTTCTTCAGTATGAATATGAAAACAGATAAAATTGGAGTTGGCAGAATATTTGGCAGAGAGTTGGCAGAATATTTGGCAGAGAGTTGGCAGTATTTGGCACACTTGGATCTGTGTATGGCCCTCTACATTCTCCAGAGGCATCTCTCTCTGTTCATTACATAAGGAGATTTGGGTCTAATCTTTGATTCAGAATACTTCATTACCCAGTAAATATTGCATTTTTCACCACCATGGCTTGATATGAAAGTATGAATAAAACTATTCATGGGTCAAATTTCAGACTTGTTTGTGACTTTGAAATCCTGCCAGAACATGTCCAGCTTAAAGACATGATGGATGGACAATAGTAATTCCTTGTTGGACACTTTTGACTGTTTAAAATATCTGAAATGTTTAGCATTTTTATAGGCAGGGCTTTGCTACCACCTTTCAGTTGCAGTGAACAGCCTATTATATACAGCTGTGTATAGCTTGGTCAGTTTCTGCAGTGGTCCTTGAGCCCAGCAGGCAAAGGAGAGAAAAAGAAAGAAAAAAAATACTGAAAACTTGAGCCATCTTCAGGGAAGGTTAGACTAGATGTGTACTGAAGCTGATGCTACTTTTAAGTCTTTTAAATTGGCTAGATCCAAAATTGAAAAAAATCTCTGCAATAGCAAGAAAAGATGTATCCGCAGTTAGAATTAGAAATGCATCTAGAATTAGGGTTCAGCATTTTAAGTGGAGTGCAGTACGGATAAGGTTGTATGTTGGCATGGTCCTATGCAGACCAGTAATTTCACTGAAATTCCAAAGAAATGTTTACAGTGCTAAGAATTTTATCTTCAAATAACAAATATTCCAGGGAAACAAAATAGTAGTTTTGAAAGAACAGAGAAAGTATACTTACTCCTCCTAAATAAGTAAAACTAGAATGTGACAAGTCTCTCTTCGCTTGCAGGAAGAAGTATTTCAAATACTTTTATTTATGTTTTCAGGAGCATGTCTAATTGATCGAGATGGAAGCCTGTTTAAGTATCTTTTGGATTATCTTCACGGAGAAGTTCGGATTCCTGAAGATGAACAAATTCGAATTGCACTGCAAGAGGAAGCAGATTATTTTGGCATCCCTTATCCATACAGTCTGTCTGACCATTTGGCTAATGAAATGGAGACGTATTCTTTAAGGTCAAATATAGAGCTTAAAAAGGTCTTGACATTTCTTACATATTCGAAGATGTACTCTCTAATCCACACTATTCATTAGCATCAGATACTAAAACTACAGTATATGCAATTAGCAGTGTTTAATCACTATGTTAAATCATCAGTAAATTCAGAGGTTTAGGTTAAGAAATCCTGGAGTTGATGGTGCAGTCATAGTAGTTAAAGACATCAGCCTTTCTCATCGTTGCAATACAGCAACAAAGTTTAAATTTTACTCTGTTTTACATGCAAGTTTGCTGTAAAACTTGCATGGTAGGAATGACATTGTTTAGTTCCATATTTGGCTTCAAATTTTCCTTGAGATTAGATTTGATCCCTTCAAGATGTTTGGTGGTTTTTTTTTTCAATTTTACAAATTCATCCTAAAACTTGAAAGATAAAATGTACTTTGCCATTTTTTTAGAAGAAGAAAAGAGAAAAGAAATTTAATGTATTATTTAAAATCCTAAGGTTTGCCTGTTTTAGAGTATTGTAACTTAAAAGCTAGTTCAAAATAACTGTTTGGAAATTAACTTATATTACCAGGTAAGGCTGTGTTAGTCCTGACAGTCACCTGTGTTCTCTTACTAAGTTATTGTTCTATGTATTTCACATTCTCCCTTATTTGTTTCCCTTTGAAAAGCATAAAACATTTCCAGGCCTTTCAGTTTCTCTTCATAGTAGGGATTTGCCATGCCTTTAAGTATTTCTGTTGCCTTTCTGTGAATTTCTCCTAGTTTTACAATATTCACTGTCAACATCAGATAAGAAATACTGCACACATTATTCTAGATAAACTATATCCTTGATTTACTTAAAAGAGCTCAACAGTACACTTAAGAAAACTTAAATATGAAAGCTTATTCAACTACAAATACTGTATTCTTATTAATAGTCTGTATTTTGTGTTTTATGTTTTTTCCAGGCTTTGTTAGATTTTTGCGATTCTTACGATTTGGTTTGTACCAAGCCAACAGTTTGGGTCTTGCACTACCTCAGCACTTCTGGAGCAAGCTGTGAAAGTAAAATTATTGGCGTATACACCACAAGAGCTGATGGGACTGATGCAATTAATAAGGAGCTAGGAACGAAAATTAATAGTAAAAGCATTTACAGAAGGTAAGATGATGGCCAAACACATGAAAGTACTATGAAATGAGAATGAACGCTCACATATAATAACAATACCTAAACAATACTATATGTAGCATAATATAGCATTATTGTACTATAAACCTGTGTAAGGAATCATATTCTTTCCAGCTTCAAAAACAGCTGGCTGATACAACGGTCACATTAAACAAACAGAGATACGAAATAAGAATGAGTACAAGAATTTGAGAGAGTCCATAAAAGGTGGCTAGCATACAGTTGCTGTAAATTCTCATTATGTTTTACTTGCTTTTTTAAAAATGTCTCAGCCATTTAAAATGAGTTCCTAATTTAGGACAATATTCACACTAAATACAGTGAATAAATCCACATCCAGAAAAAGTTCTAGAAATATGCACAAAAGCGGTTGTGATTAATGGAATTGTATTTGGCAGTCTTCCAAGACAGCTGAAAGAAATATTTAACACTGAAAAGAACTGAAGATGAAAGGAAATGGTTTTAATTCTTTAAAGGGCATGTACATCTCTACTACACTATGAATGTACTTTTTATGACAATAATTATTAAGTTATTGGTAGACCTGTACTCATGAGTGTGTGGAAGCAATTTGTCTTTCTCTTGGTCCCACAGTATGGTGTCAGATGTGTCATTCACTGTGTGTCTTTTGAAACATGATGAAGATAGAGCTTTTGAAGTTTCAGCATCTTTATAATTAAGATGGTTATTTTCCTAAATTTAGGATGGGAACATTAATATTTATTCCAAGAGTATTTGGACACATAGAATCAGGTATCTGTTCTCCTACTGTGCTTTCCCTTTGAATAAATGATTGAGATTTAGAAGAATAGAGTTTACACCATTAATTCTGTAATTATTCTTTTATGAACATCTGTTCTTTCATGAATGTCCATATTTAGCAATAGGTGTTCACAGGCATGCAGATCATAGGAGGCTAGCTATTTAGAACACCTTACACAAATTAAAGTAACATTTTCCTTTCTACTTTACAAAACATTTACTCTTAAATCCTTACAGTTAGGATTTGGTAAAAAGAATGATACGTTTCATCAGTGTTACATTTTTAAGAACTTATCTAGATTTACCACGTAACTGTTACCTTTAAAACAATATTTCTAGAGAAGCTGGAAATAACATCCAATACATCTGGAGCTATTACTCAGTAGCTGAGTTGAAAAGGATGATGGATGCTTTCGATGCCTGGGAAGGGAGAGGTAGAGTATTATTTATTTTTCTTTTATTTCAGTAGTACTACCTTTTTTCAGAAAATTAAGAAAAATTTGCGATTAACTATAATAAAAACTCTGCATGCATTTTCACTCATTCAGTAAGTAACATGTTGTGCAACATCCCACAATAGCGGCTATTTGTGGGGGAGGGAAGAAGAGTCTTAAGGGATGCTCCAACAAGGTGGCTTGAGTTGACATGGACGAATAGATCCATGAGAGCCACCACATGCAAGGGGCGATGGCCTGCTGGTGTTGGGCACTCTGGTGAGATCCTAGAAGCACGTTGGCTGTAAGCAATGTTCGTGTCAGCATAGTTTCTAAGCTGAAATTCTACGTAATAAATACACACATTCATTTAGTCAGGTGTATATACACATACATTGACTGTGTTCTCTCAGCTCATCAGTACAACGTCCCTTTGCAATGCAGGTGTCAGCTACTGGAGAGTGCCTCAGGAGCTGATTGAATGTTGGACCCTTGAGGAGCGCCCTTTGAAAGGCAGTTTGCATCATACGCCTCCAGTTCATAAAAGGTGTGCTGATTTGCACAAGTGGCTTAAAATAAAGCAGAAATACAGCATATATTTTTTAAAAATAATTTCAGATTCTTTGAACAGTTATGAATGTTAACTTTTCTCTGTTTTTTCTATTTCCATTTTTATAAAACATCTTCTAATCGGAGAGCTTAATTGCAGGACTGACCTTGCTAGAAACAAGTAACCTTTTTTAGGCTGCTGAAACTCTTCTCTATTCTAGTCTATGTCTTCAGCCTTTAAAACATCGCTTTAGAGTGGGAAGGAGTAATTTCAAAAAGTAGAGAGCAGTGTTAGTTAAATGAACTGCTGAAAAAGAAATTTAATAGAAAACTTGAGGTTAACTGATTTTCTACATATGTGAGATGCCTTCCTTTTTTAGAAGGGATTTCCCTCATTTCTTCTTTGCGGTTTTACAGCGATACTTCTGACTATACCACCATTCTCAATACATTACCTAGAAGCAGCCTTTGCAGGTGTAGCTACGCAGTTGATCAGAGCCGCCCTACAGCTACTTTGCTGCCAGAGAAAAGAGCATCCTGCTGACCTTCCTTGTCCCTGGCCATGCTGTCATTTCGCAGAAGCCGCAGAGCCACATCAGCACAACAATCCAACTGAAAACTCGTATCTCACCATCCTCCCAGTTTGTTTTGGATATCGCGTTTTTTGCTTTTCATAGCTCAAATAGGAAAGACTGTGATCATTCGATCCCTGGATTGCCAAACAGCCTATGTATATTCCTGAATGCTCCTCTGTTACCACTGCCTGTTTTATCTCCCATCTCTCTGCTTCGATTTGTCTTCTCTGTTCTTCTGCACCCTCAAAAAACTATGTTCAGGTTTCAGATAAAACTCCTGAGGTACTGCAGTGATCCTGGTGAGACACAGGCTGTCTTGAAATACTGTAAATGAACCCAATTACTGATGATATTTTACCTATACTTCATTGATACTATTAAAGCACCAAATCTTTGAGTGTTTAAGTTTTCCTTTTTGTTTTGGAAAGCACGATGTGCAGACATTGAGAATACATTCTTACCTTATGGCTCTGAGGAAAACCTCCCTGAACTCATTATGTAAGTACTAGGTTATTTGTAGGCTTTCTGTTCGAACAGTTTCACCATATACCAGTTTTAGAAGAGCAATAATAAGAAATCTTACCCTTAGATACTGTTAATTCTTTTGGTACGAATCCCTGTGGCATTTCGCAGACCTTTTAAAATCCAAAATGCAAGTATCCTGAAGAATATCAAGGCTTTTGTAGGGTATATTTTAAGCTGTTCTTTAGTGGCTCTCACAGTTCATACCCTGTTTGCAGTACTGAGCCGGCAGCTAAATAATGTCTTCATTCCAGACAATCGGGTCAGTTAAAGCTACAGCTTTTCTTTGTCCATTCAAAATCTAGATTTAATCCAATTCATACACATTCTTTCTCCTACTACTAGGTTTTAGTAGCTTTACCCCATGTATGAGCCAGCAGTAGAAACACAGTTTAACAGCTTTCATTTTGATACATTTTAAAATGCATCGTTAATATTTCTGAGTTTAATTTGGTGTCTGTGTTCTCCCCCTGCTGTTCCCCGTCTGTCTCAAAATGATGTTGATTTATATTTACTGATCATCCCTCTGACCTGTCCTGGTCTATCTTTTGTTTTGTTTGCTTTCAGGTTTTGTAATGTCCTGTTCAGCTGCTTCAGTGTGACCTGGATTTCTATGGCATCATGTATGATTTGCTTGAGGACTTAAAATCTTCCCAGTGTCTGTCCATTTTTCTTTGCCAACACTGAAAAACAGTATTTGTGTAATATTTCAAAAATGCTGTCTACGTGTACCAATTAGAGTTGCCATGAGACTCCCTAGGCTTTCCCGTGGGTGTTGTTTTTTTTTTTTTTACGTTTTCTCTTGAAATATTGATTATTCATAATCACTTATATTGAAAAGAAATGGAGGAGGGAGAAAGAAGCAGTATCTATTTTCTTTTTTCCTCAAACTACATACTGTGGAACTCAGTGTTTTGTGTTCCTGTGCAGTTAGGTCTTACATTTTTGTAGATAACTTAAAACACATCAGACTGGTATTTAGTGGATCTTTTTATCTGATAGGGTCTGTAGCATTTTAATATTTTCTTTCTATAACTCCTTCAACCTTCTTTCTCATTGATTTTCTCTTAGCAGTTTGTGCACCATATCTCTTAACATTTCTAATGTGTAAAATTACTTACACAGGTGGAAGAGATTGCTGGTACGATTCATACAAAGGCAAGCCCGATTGCAGTGATGAACAGTTGTGAACCATAAATGATAATTGTAACAAAGAAAAATTAAAAGAAGATCAGATTTGTGCATGGCTGTTGCAGATTGTCTATTTTGTAATTATGTTATGAAAAGAATAATCTGTGTACATACTTTGTTGCTTTAATTGAAGCTCTTTGTTTTACAGACGATTAATCGACTTTACTGAAGAGGAAGACTATTTACCATGTAAGGCAGGTCCCACGCCAATTAGATTCTCGGGTCCCTCAACAAGTACCCGTATCAAAGTGAAGAATTCAGCTGCATTAAAGATAGCTGCTTGCAGTGCTTCACGTTCTGCAGTGACTCTTAAACGACCCAACAGTGAAAGCTTGACACTGCACAAAGTAGCATCTGAAACTGCATCCACCTCTGTGCCGGTGCCCAGCAATTCCCAGGTGCCCCGTGGAAGGCAGGGTGCTGACAACTGGACACCGTGTCAAATGACATTCAAGATGGCAGCGTCTAGGAAGCCCGTAAGCAACCGTGTAGTGAAGCTGAAGAGGACTCCGCTTTTCCTTGCGACGCCATCTCAGCCATCGTCTTCTGTGTCCAGTAAAACAAGTGAACGGGACAGTGCTGCTGTTGAGATTCCTACTACTTCTATGGTGCTAAACAAGAAAGAACCAGCTGCGTTAGCAGAGAGTATTAAGCTTAAGAAAGATCAAGTGGATGGATAATGTTTGACTCAGCCTGACAGCCTGGATAGCTTTGCATCATCTGGTCAAAGAAGAGTTTGTCATCTCATGTGGTCATTTATTTGAAGAGTTGGTAGAAAATTATGATGAAAAAGTTCATTAAAAGCATAGGGAGAAATTGGTTTCAGTGAGCACTGAATGCGTTTTCTGCTTTATTTCTAAATATTTTTTAGATGTTGGGAAGGGAGGAAAAGAATGGATTAAAAAGCCTTCTCAGACACAGAGCACGTGCAGTCTAACGTTACAGCATCTCACATTTGTATTTCTGTCAGGCTGTACTAGTACCACTGACATTTTAAAGGGAGTACTTGCACAGCATAAAAGACAACCTCTATCAACTGTAACTACTGTTAACATTAACTAATTTCTTTAATCTGTGTATTTAAAGCTGGGAAAAGTAGGTAAGAATAAGTAGCTTTTAGTAGATACAAGCTTGCCACAAGTGTACAACTTGGCAAGTACTGTGAAGATTCTGTAAGCCGAATGTACTTACTGGTACGTCTGGTGAGGGTAAGTCACCATTTTGTTATTAATGGCAGTGGAATGGACATCTTTGCTTGTACACAGGGAGAAAACCCAGCAACACAGGAAGGGAGGAGCATGGCTAGAGAGTAACGAGGCAACTTTCTGCCACAGACCTGAGATGTGTGTACTACTTACATAGTGTGGTGTGGGGCCACTGTGGGACGTTTTCTGCAGCTGCAGGAAACCTTGCAGGTCTGAGTTACAGCGGGCCTTCCCCTGTCCTTCTGCAGGCCCTTTCAAACAAGGGGACGACCTCAACTTCTGTACAGCAAAGCAGTGTTCACAGAGGTGCCCTGGTTTGAAGGAAGATTAAAAAACCCCTCCTTCCCCCCGAGCAGGATGGAGGAGACCTCTTTGTACCAGGGTAGATTTTAAATAAGGATGCTGAAGTGAAGAGCTGCTGTTTGTTTCTATTAGCAGAGGAAAGCAGAATTGGACTCATTTTAAAAAGTCCTTTTAGTTGTTAAAATTGAGGAACGAAAGCTGGCTTTGTTTTATGCCCTTGCTTATAGTTGGGTGCTGGGACTTTTTGTTGGTTTTGCTACAGCTTTTTCTTTTCCAGCACAGTAAATACAGCTGGCCCTAAACGTTGACAAGTCCGATCCCATTGTCAAAATGAAATGTTCTTAAAATTCCTGAGACTATTAGAATTACAAGAGGGTTCTTTAAATGTTTTATTTTCCAGATCATTTAGAAGTGATCACATTTTCAGGCTTTTCTCCTAACCACAAGGACTTGAAACATCATTTGCACAAGTAAAGAACCCAAATTTTCATGTACTAACATATTTTTTAGGAAACGCTTTGCCATGAACAGCAGTCACTCTGAAGGTGTGCGGTACTGTAATTTTCTGCTTAGTGTGTATATTGAAGACCACCTTACCTTTAGAATCTTTAAGCTAGTGGTTTTTCTTAAAAAAATAAACCTAAAGGGCAACAATCCCAAGGCTCTTCCTGAAGAAAGGACAAGGCAAAAATTACAGAAAGATATTAATATAATGTAATCTCCTATTCTTTGGGCATGCGATTCATCATTGACACTAAGTTTATGAATTTTTTTTCCATAATAATCTGACTGAAAAGTTTTTATTAGTTATCTTCTATGTGACTTCTACTTCACTGTTTGTTGAATAGCTGAGCACTTTATCATGCACCTTTAAATCTTTTTATGGTTTCCTAAAGCAGATTTCCTCCCTATTCAACTTTTGATGAATTTAAAAGGCTTCTATAAACATCACACTAAAGCTCTCAAAAAGTATGGAATTTTGCATGTGTACAAGAAAAAAGCTGTGTGGGAAATCCTGCAGGACTTTCTGAGTTTGCACTAGCTCAGTGCTTATTTAATTATTCAGGTAGCACTTTTGAGTAACGTTTGTGTCATTTGCATTAAAGTAGCTCTAAGGAGTCTTCTCTTTGTCCTAGACATACTGGATATGGTTAAAAGAAAAAAAACAAACCCCAAAAGAACTCCCTTTAATTTCAATAGATGAAACAGGAAAGTGACTGTGGTGGGGAGGTAGGGCAAGATTAATTATTTTTTTGAGACTTGATTTTATTTATCTATTTTTAATTGGATGAGGTGCAAACATGGCCTTTTAACTTACCTGAGTAGGTGTTTTATGCCTGTGAATCTCACTGCTTCTCTTAACTGACAGACGGATACTGAACAGTTTTATGATAGCTGAATAGCATTCACTTTCACAGTAATTTTCACTATAAAGATAGCTTTGCCCTTATCTACCCAAAACCATTTAAAATGTAGAAGTAAACCAGCATTTCATCTACTTTCTGGGAGGCCAATAGCTGAAAACAAACGAAACTTGCCAGTCCAAGCACGAGTCATCCCTTAACTTGGCTAAGAGACTGTGTTTTCTGAGGCCTGGAACAAAGAGGAGAAATTGTGCAAGTCTGTGTTTCCTGCAAGTTGAAACTTCCTCAAAACTGTATGTTCTCAAGTTCTTAAAGTCTGTAGTTTTGTTAACATTTCACGTGTCTAACTCAACCAAGGAAGTACCAGCTGGTACTGCATTTGCACTGGTAAACTGTGATACATTGCATTTACGTACTGGATAGTTTGACTGGGGAAGCTACTAAAGGTGAGCTATGGTTTTGTAGCTGGGATTACGTGCATTGTCAAGTGGTGTGACAATGGTTTACTTTGAATCTTTGTAAAATTATCATTCATTTTAGAAGAGGTTATGCTCAGAAAAGACCATGTTCAGAAGGATACTCCAATTTAGATACTAGTATCATTAGAGTACAAATAGCTGCATTCTAAAGGCTGACACACGTATCACCAGTGTAGGTGTGATGCATTATTTTTTTTCTCACAAACACTGTCGATTTCCCAGTTGTTCAGTTCTCACTTTCACATTACTGACTTTCCAAACCATCAACGATACGGCATCACATGGGTTAAAGAGAAAAGAAAAATACGATTCCAGGTTAAATTTCTAGAAAGTTACTCCTCCGTGACTACACACAGGCTTATGATGCAGAGGGCCTATTATCACCAATGTGATTCAAAGAGATGTAATTCTGCGCTTCAGAGTACGGAGCACTCGTTTGTACTTGATGTAAGTGAGTAGACATTATTTCATGTGACAGGCACATGTTACCACTGATCCTCAGGGAGAGTTTTCATCAGGCTTGTTTTTAGCTGAAGAGCCATGGAAATACCAAAGCCACCTTTTTTTTTTTCTTTCAAACTATTTCAGTTATTTCCCTACCAGCTCTTCTAGAGCAGAAAAATACACTTAAACCAGCCTACATTAAATCGCTTAGATAATAAACATTATGTAGTTCAAATCCTACTATGGCTAAAAAGAAATACTAACATTACCCAGGAGTAAGCAGATTTCATCTACTTAGTTATTCCCAATCCACAAAGGACAAATTCTCACCTGATAAAAACAGGAGGCCAGTTGTGCCATCAAAAACTTGGGAGTGAAGCTGTCTGTCCCTTAGCTGCAGTTACAGAGTCCAAGTGTGATTAGAAGTAAAACTCTGTAAATATTCTGTGGTAATAAAGCCCCACAAATACCTAGATTTGTTTTAGGCAACAGCTTTTATTGAAAGCTGTTAAGCAATAGAAACGGGTACAGCTGATGTTACAGACCTTTGCTGCTTTCTGGGTATCTCTTACAGAATTTTCTTCTTGCCAAAAAAATCTGGCTGTTTATACCAGAATTGATCACTCTTGGCTGAAAATTACTTTGCAAATTCATGGGGTCTGTGCCCTTCTGTGTAATGTGCCCAGAGTTTGCATTAAGGATTTGGCCCTTTCAAAGCTGCCCCTTTCCTCTCTCTCTCTCCACTCAATTCCAGCCTCTGGTACAACACAAACATTTTAGTACAGTTTGTTTTAGTAGTTTGCCATAATACAATAGCGTGTTGTCCCAAATTTCTGGCAAACTTTTATTGTATCCTCACGTGGGTAACTGGCAGTGGTACTGGAACTTGAGACCTCTGGATCCCATGGTGCCTCTGCTGTAGTCACAAGAATACTGACAGGAAGAATGCAGCCGATTTATAAAATCGTGGTGCAGCCCAGTCACTACATGGGGAAACAGACTCTCAGTAAGAACTGCCATTCATACAAGCTCACACCAGATGTTCCTCTACAACAGGGTCCAGGAAAGTGCTACAAGATCAACCTTTCCCTTAGAATTATTAGTTTCTCTTTCAGGGTGACATTTTCAAACACGTTAAGTGATTATTTTTTTTTTTTTAACCCTTTTTTTCCCCAAACACACCTAAATAATGTAAATTTCCCAAATACCTTGGCTGTGTTACTTTCTCTTTTTAGTTTTCCAACTGCTATTTGGTCCTTTACTCTGCTAATTTCTGCCCTTAATCTGGGTTTAATCTTACATAGAAAAAGATAAACAGATCCAACCTGGTTTAAAGTACTGCCCTTTAAGGCGTGTTTCCACTTTTGAAAAAGCACACAAAGTGCAGTGGGAATTCCATGTTTGTGTTTGAGTGATGCCAAACGGCTGTATTTGCTTTGCAAATTTAGGGCACTTTTTAAAAAAAGATGGTTGGCCTGAAAGTCAAGCCTAGTCCCACCCTTAATTCCCTCACTGACCCCTATACAAATCCCTTACATTAAACGAGTGTTACCCGTAGCCAGCTCTGTAATTAGGAGATAGAAACAGAAGATAGGCTCAAGAGCATCTGATTACTTTCAAGTATTGTGAACAGTAAAGCACTCCTAGAAACTGGCAGATAGAATACCAAGCAGAGACACAAGAAACGAAAGATGAAGATACCGTTCTGACACATCTACACTTCAGAGCACAGCCACATTATGCAGCTAAAATGCATATTGCAATGCTGAACCACACTTAGTGTGCTAAGACTGCAGCATTCCCAGAACCAGCCCTCTCCCCAGCCTAACCGAATCCATGCTTGCATCTCTCATCAAAGAAAATGTGTTTGCCTGTCAGTCCTGGGTCTGCTACATACTGAGCCTTCAGCACACCAAAGGTTAGCTGCTACTGAAGAGTGCAAGGTGGTCCTGTTGTGCTGAGTTATGACTTATGTTACAGATTTTATTTATTTGCAGAAGCCTGCTTGTGAGAAGCTGACTTATGGAATAAAATAACTGTCAATAATCCTGTCAAATGGAGAAGCTATAAGGAAGCAGTAAAAGTCATTATAGGTAAGTTAGATTTCATTTTTCTTAGGAGTGGCTACAAGAACAAACGTACATAAATTTCACAAATTATCTAAGGACAATATAATAAGATTCCTGTGTAATATCTACATGGGAATTATAATTGCATCTCTTACAGTGAGGTTACAGGTCAAACTGTAAGGCAGCAGATAAATCTTGAAACGCTATCTAGCTGATGGGTATGCACAACACAGATTGTGGAATTGCAGTTCCATTTACTCAAAACATTCAGCTTAAAAGCCTAATAGGTAATTAACTAGGATAGAAGCAGTACTGGCAATGCTAAAAAAGCCAGTGTTTACCTATGCATGTTTATTTTTTTTTCACTACCCTTCCAGATGAAGATGAGTTATTTGCCTTTTAGAATCAGGTTTTACCAATATTCACATGTGGAAAACTGTGTACAGATATCCAGAGAAACAAAAATTATCAGAGTGAGGAAAACACCTCACTCTACACTTTGAGATTATTTTTCAAGGGCCTCAGAGGAAAAGTAAACCAGTCAGTACTAAGGAAGCGTGCAGTCACCTGACAGAAATTAGAAAATTGGTAAAAAGCAAACAAAAATACAAAACAAACAATAACCTAGGAATACACTTTTAAAGACACTCAACTGTCCTGCTATTACTGACCTCAGTGGGAAGGCAGTCTTACTGACCTTTTAAACCTTTCCCATTCTGACACTTAGGCTACTAGTTCGCTTGATGCCGGGTCTGGATTCTGGCATCTTACTATATTAAACAATAACTTATATTACAAGTCTGTCCAGGATGGAGAGGGCTCTCATAGGGAGGTTCCATTCCCTGCACTTGTGGCATTAGAATCTAGCTAAATGCAAAAGCCTAGTCCAGTCCAAACTCAGCTGAAAAGTCTCCCACTGATACCAGTTGAATTAAGCAAATAAAATTTGTGTAAGATCACAAAGGTTAGGCACTGCAAAGCAGCAAACACCAGAATATTTTAGAAAGAAGATTTTAATTTTTTGGAAGAAACAGATTTTCTGACATACAGTATCAGAACATTAAGACTAAGTAAAATTTTTGTTTTAATAGAAAACTCCGAAGGATGTAGTATCTGCTTAAATATGTACCTCCACATTCTGCTGCATGTTGCTGTAACAGATTTAATAGTCTTAGCTCTCATTATGGACAGATGATTCCTACAGAAAAAATATAGAAAAATATTTTGGATTCAAGTCTAGAACACCTGCAACTTTTTATATGCAAAAAAATAAATCCAACTAGTCATAGAAAAGTGGCTGATAAGGATGAAGAATAGTGCTATGCATCTGAATAGCCATGACTATATACATTCCAAACTTAAGAAATGAGCATTTTTCCTCAGCCTCATAAAAATAGTTTGTCAATGAAAAATACCAATATGCAATACATTTAATACAATTTATACTTGAATTTAAAGATCTCAGATTATGGAATAATAAGCTAAAATCAAATGTGTTGCTTTTTCAAATCTTCTTGTATATAACAATACTCTCTGTGTATACAGTGTGCATGCATGTACATGTATGCACGCACAGAAAGAAAGAGGGTTATAGATATTTGCTGAAAAATTCTACAGGATTATCTGATTTCATTGCAGACCACGGCATACAGACTTCCTGGGATCCTTCTAACACAGGCTGCTCTAAAAACCAATAATGATGACTGGTATAACCACATATCTACAACAGGTTTTTGCTATTATGAATTTCATTAGCAATTTATTTTTCCAATCTAGAACTCATTTTCTAAGAAGTAAACGCTGCTTTGGTAAGATTCTGTAGTGTCTTGACAAAATAACTGTGAATGTATTTGGCAAAGCCCCGAAAGTATGAATTAATTGTGATAATTAGTAATAAAGATACCAACAAGTTTTAAGCAGCAACAGATTTAAAATGACTATGTTCTGACTTATTTTCTTCACCCACAAGCATGTCAAGCAAGAAACTAAAATGAAGACATTGAATTTCTTTGCCTGCCGTCACCTTGGCATTTTAAGCCACCAAAGTCACAGCGGGCACTGAAAGAACAGTGGCGTCAGCGGAGACCTCCATCCTTGCAGGGCATAAGTTGCATTGTGACACCCTGCCAACACTGCCTTGGAAAGGCCTGTGATCTGCGGTGTCTGGTGTAGGATGCTTTCGTCGGGTCTTTTCTGAATGTGTTGGATTCTCTGTGGTCCTTGTAGTTGTGGATGGCTCTTGATTTTTCATAGCTCCTTTATTTTTAGATCTGAAGCTGTTATGCTGCTGTCTTCTGTGTTCAGACTTGGAACTGCTCTTTAGATTATTTTGATCTGCCTCATTACTGGCACCTTGTGACTTAATGGATCCATTGAGCCGGATGTTTTGGTGCTGGGGGTTGAATCTTCGTCTCTGGCTAGAAGGCCCATTCTACCCAGAAAGAAATTGGGTAACTGTTAGGTTATCTGAATCCTTCCAACAGGACAAGAAATACAGCAATCAGAATTAACAAAAATTGCAGAATAAAATTTTCAGTGTAACTAGGAGAGGGAAAATACTATACACTTTTGATTGTTGCTGGAGCTCTCTATTTATCACACTTAAAAAAACTGAACTAAGAGTAACACGCTACATCTGAGTAGCCTGGAAATACAGCTGGCAGGCTCATCACTGCTGCCAAGTTAAAAACTGCCATGATTCAAGAGAATGCAGAAAAGGGGATGAAATACCAGACATCTCAACAGCAGCAGTTAAGAAGTACTGAAGAACTTGATACTGACTGATTTTTTTTCCAAAATCATGAAGATATCTTTCCTAGTAAAGTGTTGCATAAATACTACAGTAAGACTGCAGGAAGAACAGAAATTCACATGTAAATTAAAGTCAAGAATCCACAGGGCGGGAGAGATGTCCATTGTGTTATCTTGCTCAGAGGAAGCTTTGATCCCTAGTGGGAAGTGGCCGAATTGCTTTATTTGTGAGACTGCCAGGGCAGCTGATTCCATATATGCACTGACATTACGTAACGCCCCTATGTTTCCCTTCAGGCACCTACTTGAGCCTAAAATCCCTACTGGGACAAAATTCAGGCCAACTTCAGTGGCTGTTTTACCTAAGCACAATGGTACAAGGACATTCCAAGGTGTTCTTATAATGAGATAACTATCAATATAGCACAATACTGTATGTTGTATTGTAGGGCTTCTGAAATAACACAATTTTAAAGCCGGTAAGATTCCACTTCCAAAGTCTATCTAATAATCATGCTTCAACAGCACGTCAACTGATCATTTGTCAAAGACCAGGTATAAATGTTTCTCCATTGTAGCACGTAAGGCAATTAGCTGTTATGGAGGGTTTTTCTTTTTCAGTCTATTAACTGCCACTAGTCACTTCTGAACATCAGTTGGCGGTCTTGGCTGGTATGGCATTTCTGGTATTTCTGCCTTGTGGGTTCACACTGCCTTGAAAATGAAGCTGGAAAATATACACTTACACATTTTCAAAATGTATTAATTAAATATATGGACTGCAAAACAGTATTTGATTTTGTATTAACAATTTTCAATGCTGCATATTTTTCTGAAATTGTTCATAACTGGTTTCTCACCTGCTTATTTGTTGGGATTCCTTGGGAAGAAGATTCTGTAACATTGGCAGAAAGATGACTTTGTACTTTAGTGCTGGCTGTTTTATTGTCAGAGTTCTTGGCGTTAGTAGAGGACTTTCGTGTGTGTGTATTTTGCTTGCCAGTTGTTGCATGCGAGGTCATTGAAGACAGCACTGAACTACATGGTGTTCTTGAGGAATAGTTGTTCTTTGGATGAGAAACTGTAAAAAAAGTACTCTGTGTTATCAGTTAAATGATCAACATCTAGACATAAGGCTGTATTCTTACCCTGTTTACAGTTAATTTTGGTAGCATCATTCTAGCCTTACTTTAGATACTGAAGTAAGCTAGATAACCCGGGCTGGAATTAGGCCATCGTGAGCCAGTGGGGTGGAACTGCACTAAAACTGGGAGAAGCCTGGCAGAAGGCCAGAATTTGGTCATCCAAGAAAGCTTCTCAAAATTCCTGGCACCTACTGGTTTGCTTACGAACTTTTAACCAGTTGAGCTGAACACATGTGCTATCAGGACTGCCCCACGCACTGCTGTCCTATCAATAATGTTCCTATCAGGAGCCTTCAGGCAACAAAGGAAGAAAGACAGGAAGGAAGTGAGTGGTATGCCAGTAGCTCTCTCAATTGCTTGAGGTCAAAGGAAGTTGTGCCTGCAGACACCATAGACAAAATTCAATCCCAAATTATTCTTTGATCCTGGAAGGCTGAAGAGGCTGATGTTTGCTGTCTATATATGTACTAGCTACAACACAGGTAACAGCCATGAAAGCTTCCTTAGTATGTCTAAATACTTTTTAAGAAGAACAAAAAGGAAAGTCTAGTGCCCATTGCTCATTCCTATCTAAGGAGATGGTTAATAAAGGTTCTTCTGTACCATGGATATCTACAAAAACTGGAACTGAATGCAATGCACTAATCCCACGTCATGTAGATCATGGCGGCAGTCAGCACCATTAGGAACCACTGTTGCTCATCTCAGTATATTTGTGATCCCTGCTTCTTAATATTTTAAGACCGTCTGATTTCTTAACCACTTCCATGTCTGGACGTGAAGTGCACCAAACAAATCCTTGATTCCTACCTCTCTGCACTTCCACAAGCTCTTCAGGCTGCCTGCGTCTGTGCAATGGCCCCTAAGCAGTCTCAAAGAGGACTCTGAGGCTACTGAAGTTCTTCATTTGCTGTTCTGATTTTTCTGATTATGGAATTTTCCTGTTTCCTTCTGGTACAGATGACAAACCAGAGGCTCACTTCAGTGAGATGCCTGTTGTTTTATCTAAGAGTTACTTCTATTTTTCCAGTTTTAGTGGAGAGAAAGAAGATGCAGAATAATTTTAGCAACTGAGCATCATCTGTTAGGTTTTTTGAGGCTCTTCCTTATGCCAACACCACCTATTTCTCCCACTAGGTGTCCTCTTCAGAAAAACAATGCCATCTTCTGCACAATGAACTGAATTTTCTGTCCTAAGTTCAGTAAGGCCGCTGTCACTGAATTCTACTGCTCTTTCTTGTCTGAAATAGACTGCTGCACATGGAAGCACATATAAAAATCCAGGTACTTTTAAATGTATTTTTAACAAAAAAGATGTACAAGGAAAGGGTACAACTCACCATTGGGTATTCTGGATATATGTCAGTCCAATGATTTTTGTTTCTTCCTGCCCTGCATTGTGAGTGTATGCTGCCTACCTTCTTCTCATGCTAGAACATGCCTTCCTTCGCACAAGCTCTGTGGGTTTGGTTATTGCTTTTGTTAAAGCCCTCAACAGTGGCTGTTCTTAGCTATAGGCATGGTACAGTCTCTGCAGTGTACTTGCGGCTCCTAGAAGGGTATGGGCCTCATTGTGAGATGCTCCAAACAGAAACATCTTTTACACTGAAGAGCTCTTATCAAAGACGTGCCAACAGCACGAGTTGGTCACCTAAGGTCACCGAGGGCGGATGAGAGCCAAGTTCTTCAGACGGCCCGTGAACTATCCATCATTTGTAAGATGGCACTGCTTCTCTGCTAATAGCTGTTTTTTTGACTTCACTGATGTGATTTCAACAGGACTGCATCAAACTATGCTGAAGTAATGCTTTACTGAAATGAGGTATAAATAATTAACTTGCAGAATTAACTGCAGCTGGAAGTTATTTAGGAAAGTAGTTCAATGAGTTTAAAAAAAACAGTCTATGGTTGTATCAATAGCAGCTGTGGTTATATTAGTCAGGATAATCTTTACAGAATTTTCAATCTCTTAAGCTTCAGGGTATGAACAGGGTCTATGAGGTGGCTGTGGACAATTAGATGCATTACTGGGAAGCTTATGCCTGCCTTTGAAATATCCTGGGTTGGCTTCAGTGAGAGAGAGGATACAGGGTTAGATGGATCTTCAAAGTGTTCTGCAAAAGCAATTCTTAACGGTCTAATGAATTAAACTGGTTTCACCTCAAAGGAGTGAGTTCTTTAGCTGTGCAGATGGAAGATCATATTGGCAGACTGTGTGGTATTTTTTCTTTTTTCTGTTTCTAGTAACTCCTTGAAAACAACTATTTTGCTTCCCAAAATTGTTTTCCTTCTGCCAAGATGCACTAGCTCAGTATTGTGTTAATGGTTTTTCTCCTGAGTGATGGTACTGGTGGGATATCATGGGACAGGGTAACGTTTGGGGCAAAGCATTATAGCATTTACTTTTTTTTGAAAAAAAAGCATGACAGAGATGAGAAATAGGCTATCTCATATTTTGCAACAGGGACTTGTCACTTGGAGCAGAAAATGAACCTGAATTTCCAAGCAGAAGGGTGGATGATTTGGAAGCAGGAACATTTGGGACTACCTTTATCTCCTGAAAAACCCAGGGAATACTGTTCTAAGGTTGGAGAGGTTACTTCCTAGCAAGAGAGATCTGAATTGGTCTCATAACGTTATGCTCACACAGAGAAGCTTCCGATTTACCAGTCATTCATAAATTACCAAATTTGAGTGTTCCCCAGAGCTGACTTTTATTTCCACTGGGAAATCCTGTTTAGATGGAAAACTCCAATCACTCTGAGTAATGCCTGGAAACCTCTGACAAAGAAGGCACTCTGCACATGCAGATGGACTGCGCAGCACATGTACAGTGAGTCTAACGTCTTGCTGACTGCAAAGTTGACTTGTGTGTGTTGGACTGCTGCATCCAGATACACCATTCGTGTCAGGCTTGCTGCACACATGCACACTGGCAGTACACACGCCATTATTTCTGCTGGCATTTCCTGAACAGGTATGTGGAACACTATGTTCCGAGAACTTTGGTGTGAGAAATCACCAGCACTTACTTTCTCCACAGAGCTGAATTTGGGTCTTCAGCTGTTCTGTATCACAGGAAAATCGGGCAGACCTGCCCAGCTCTTCATCATATTTCCGCTCACTCACAAAGTGCTGCAAAAATACAGCCAAGTTAACAGTGATTTGCATTCTGAGCAAAAGACTATATGGATGGTACAGAAACCAATCAATACTTATCTTAAGTTCACCTTAAGGCTCAGCAAGCTCTTGATCCTGCCCCATACACAGGATCTCTATGGAGAACCAAGTATTTTCCCACCCTTACCAAATTACATGTCTCACAGCCCAGTGATGAGTGGATCACTCCCACACTGGGGAAGTGGGTCATTTCATCAGAGTATATGCATTTGATCACTGAACCTGAAGCTCTCTGGTTTACTTGTTAACTGGGTCTGATAAATGATGCACAAACAGCAAAACCTCCCCTGCTCCACTTATGAGGGGATAGCTGACGCTTCTCTGATAGTGTCTGTACACTGCTCAGAGGACCTGTAACACTTTAAGAAGGCATGCTTTCTCCATGGAAAGCTAGTTACCCTTTGGCCCAAAGCAGGAACGAACAGCCTGGACATGTTAACATGACAGCTCTTTCCTGGCATTTAGGCAAACAGCTAAAATACCCAAGCAGAAGTGAATGCCCGACCTTAATCTCAGCCCTGAGTTCAGACAGTTGTGCTTCGGCCATCTGACTGGCTAGGTCCGTCAGTCTCTTCAGCTCCTCAGCTTTCTTCTGCCGAGCAGTCAGGATTTCCACTGCCAAATACCAATAGTCAATAATTAATGCTAGGAGGGTAAATTACTCTGTGATTCATTACTCTGTGGACATCAACGCTGTATATCATATGTGAGACAAACGCACACATCTCAGACCCCCGACTTCCACTGGACTTCCAATATGCTTGCTGCCTGTACAGATTAAGTCAATCAGTGTATTTAACTGAACTACTCGATGTTGAAAAAGATCTGGAAGTGGGACAGTTGTCACAAAATCAAAGTTAAACTAATCCTTCGACATTTAAACAAACAGGGGCAGAGGCATGTTGTTTAGAGTTTTCCAGTGCTTTATTTTTAAGCACAAAATCAGGGAGCCTTCCATAGAGACATGGAAAGAAGCATTACATTGAGTCAACAGCCTACTGCTGAAGACATGCTATATTTTATTTACACAGATGCATTTCAGTTCCCCTGAAAAAAATCTGTTCATTTATATTTAAATCACCAGCATTGCAATTTTGCTTTCAAGTACAGAACATACACAGTTGCCATTTCTACAGCAAAGTAGTATTATAAAGGCTAATAGTCTTTATGAAAAAATACTAAATATTCACTACTGCCCATCTTGTATATTTTATATAAGGTAGAGGTGAATAGTTACATTCTTATAGGAAAAGATTAATCATGAACCACAAAGCAATGGTCCACTTACATGCAGGATAATATGACATTACAATTTTGGTGGAAAATGAAATATATGCAAACTCTATTACCTACATGATGACTCAACATAAAATCAACAATTGATTAACTGGCTGGTGGGATCAGCGCTTATAGCAGAGAGGAAAGATAGCATCTAAATATAAAATAATAACAATTACAGTCTTTTGTCCAAGACTTATGGCTACAGTCAGGTTGAGTGGTAGTTGTTGTAAACTATCCTAAGGCCACAGACTTCATTACAGCTGTGGAGACTTCGGCTTCTTTGCCTTCTTTTGCCACAAATTTCCAGAGCAGACTTGGCAAGTCACCTAACCAGCTCATACTTTGTAATGCCATTTTTCAGGTGAGAATTAATGACATTCCACAGAGAGTTTGTTTCTCAACTCATTAACATTTATTTAATCAGATGGCTGCTTCTTTTGAAAGTATCATAGAATAACTTGGGTGGGAAGAGACCTTTGAAGGTCACCTAGTCCAACCCCCCTGCAGCAGGCAGGGACATCTTCAACTAGATCAGGTTGCTCAGAGCCCCGTCCAACCAGGCCTTTAATGTTTCCAGGGATGGGGCATCTATCACCTCTCTGGGCAACGCGTGCCAGTGTCTCTCCAAGTACAGCATGGTCTGGCAGACATGGGGAGGCAGAGCGGCAGCTGTACAACTGTGTGGCAGCAACGAAACCATAGGATGGAGGAGCATGTGTCACACAGGGCAGGGAAGGCAGTGGGTGGCTACAGTTCCTTTAGCCCTGTCGGTAAATCAGTGCCTACGTTATTACTTATGCTAAGAATAGGTGTGTACCTATCTCTCTAGCTGATCTTTTAATTTCATTTTTGTGGAATAGGGTCTTGTCCTGGTTTTGGCTGGGATAGAGTTAATTTTCTTTTTAGCAGCTAGAACAGCACTGTGTTTGGATTTAGTAAGGGATTTGGTATGAGAAAAATGTTGGTTACATACTGATGTCTTTAGTTTTTGCTAAGGAAATCAAGGACTTTTCAACATGCAATGTTTTGTCAGTATGCAGGTGCACAAGAAGCTGGGAGGGAGCATAGCCAAGCAATGGAACTACAATTCCTGGCTTACGATTTGGGTTTAGGCCCAAACCGGCCAACGGGATATTCCACATCATGCAATGTCATGCTCAGTATATAGATGAAGGTTGGCCACGAAGCTCACTCGCTCTCTTCTGGCATTGCGGTTTCAGGATTCTCCTGCTCTGGGATTGCGAGCCAGAGATGGGCTGGGCATTGCTCAGCAGGTAGTGAGCAACTGCACTGTGCATCACTCGTTTGTATATTCTATTATTATTACCATCATTATTATTTTTCATTTTATTTTATTTCAATTATTAAATTGTTCTTATTGAAAACCACAAGTCTCTTTACGTTAACCCCTAAAATTCTCTCTCCCATTCCCAGGGTGGGAGAGGGTGAGTGAGCAGCTGCATGGCGTTTGCTTGCCAGCTGGGTTAAAACACAACAGGTCTACATTCTGAGAAACTTTTTTCAGATTAAATGAACAGTTTACTAGCTGGTTTTTTTGGTCTAACAGTTCTACTTTATTGCTTACTCCAGGTAATGCTAATACTGTTTCTCCCCAAGGTCAGCAACCCCTTTGCTGAAGCGACTGCCCAAACCATATGATCTCATCTCATACTGGCCCTTACCTCTGCATGAGATGCCAGCCAAATATCCATTTTTTTAAAAAAAAAGAAATTGTCATATTTGGAAATCTTCCCAGTATTGACAATAAAAGGAAGATTACCCACTGTAAAACAGTCCTCCAGTGTAGCAAAGAGATATGAAAATAAATAATAACATAAACTTGGTTAGCATGTTACAGTCCTATAACAACTTTCGGCCTAAATTTCTGAAAGCACTTTACAAGCCTACAACAGCCTTGAGAGACAGCAGAAACTACGCTGCTGAAGTCAGGTACAGGGGCCATCCAGCAGCACATGTGGAGTTGGCATGAAAGGAGGGAAATAGAACCTGCCATGGGCAAATGCAGCATTTCCCACGCCTGTAGAGAAGAATTAGGTTTACCTTCCATGAAAATTACTGCTATACCTGGCCAAGATTAATGAAGGGGCCCTACGATACCATCAGCCCTGGACAAGAGATTTCCAAAACGTGTTTCTGTTTATGCAGTCAGGGCTTAGATCCATGTCTGCTGATATCAATGGGAATTTTACCATTGGTTTTCCTGGGAGTGAGTGTATGCCCTGTAGCTGATTATGGCTACCTGGTCTCTGCAGATAATCAAAAAGCTGCTGATGTTTCCACCTGTAACTCTGTATTCCCAGAATAACACAGAACTCCAAATCCACATCTATTCCATGTTAGTACTAGGAAAGTTAGCATACAAAATTCCAAACACAAACTAATGCCAACTTTGCTGAAACATATCTTTTAGTTTCCACACATATACAACTGCAAGAGACTTAGCTAGCAATGGAGGATTTAGATTATTTTTTAAAATAAAAATTTAACTAGTATACATTTGTGAAGTAAGTGAGAGTTCTAAATGCAAATTAAGCATTCAAGAATGTTAGATATATTTGTGATTCTCCTTGGAAGAACCTTAATTTCACAAATCAAAGGATTGTATGCATACATAGCAGTGGTATTTTTATCCGTCAGGCAAAGTGTCATTCTAACAACACTGTGATTACGCCTCAGTTTCTTGCTTAGCACTCTGTATTAAAACACATCCCTTTCATTACTGGGCCATGAATACCATATCTCAGGTGGGGATAAGATAGATATTGTTGTAGCCTAATACATGGCTCATCACCAGAGTATGTATACCTTACCTATGCAAAAAACAGGGACGACATGAAAGCCTGGAATCACATAAACTCTCACAGATTATTAAGAAAGCAGATTCCAGTAAAAATCTAGTTTTAATTTTTTTTTTATTGTTCTAACTCATAAGCTTGATCACTATCCTTAAAGCTATGCAAAGCCACACAATAACCTATTCCCCTAGTAATTTCCAGTATTCTAACTCGTATATGTAACATGAACAAGCAATCAGTGATTAAGAAATGGAAATGAAGTAACTGACAAACCATAGAAATAAGGAGAAAAAAAAAGAGTGGTGAAAAAGCTCTGAAAAGTAAGCAGAAGGAATAAATAATTTAGATCTGACTTCATATGAACTTTTGGCTTACCTTAATTTCATAATATCTAAATTTTCACCCACATCCTTATAGACAGAAACTTACAGAGAAACTATCCTGGAATATCGAAGACTTATTTGATTGTGTACATAAACAATGAAAGATGCTAGAATGCTGCTAACCAAATTTATGTACTGCTTAATTTGCTACCAAAGAAAACAAACGTTTCCATGACTATTCCAAAAAGTTCCCTATGTATTTTTTTTACTTACTGGCTTCTTCTTTTACTTTATCAATTTCTGCCATTAATGACACTTCTTTGTCTACGATGCTAAAAAAGGAAAAACAGAAAGAAAAAAAACACAATTTAATCCATGCTGCAACTCCATCAAAATCAAAAGCTACAACTACACAAAGACTTCAGACCTTACTTATGGACAGTTTTGAAATTAATAAGACTTAAAAAATGGAAGCTGAATAAACAGCTAGGCAAACTGACTTGACTACAAAAAATTAGTGACAATCAGTGCATGCTGATTTACACAAACATCTCACTGGCCTGTCCACGTGTCCGCACAGATGTGGACGTCACTCTGATTTACCTCTTCAGCACTGCCTGGGTACAGCAGTCCTCAAATGACTAAACAGTCTCTTTCCTAATTAAGCTAGATATACCACTGCTGCTACTCAGGTTAATACAGCTTAGCTCTCAGTGCAATAGTAAGAATAAAATAGAATTAAAGCCATGTGGAAAGAGGTCCTTCTCTTCCTTAAATAGATATATCCTTGCAAAATATGTTGGGGTAAACAAGAAAATGGTTTGTGATGTAAATAAGCATTAATGTATCCCCCTAACAGAGGTCAGCTTCCTTGCCCCCATTCTCTCTAGGAACAGGAAGGTGAGGTTCCACTTTTACCTGGACTTCCTAAAGGTCTCATGTGCCACTCCTTTCACAAATCTCTGTTGCGTGAGCCCTGACAGCGCTTTTAAGATGTCAAAGTGCAAACTGACCAGGCTGGTCTACTCAGAGCAGATAGTGGGGTCTGGTAAATTGTTCCTATTATCAACCCAGCGACATGGTTCAGTGAAATAACACCACTGCAGAATGCTCTCCAGTGGATGGTGCTCTGGTGCTCTCCATTTTCCCTTCACTAGATTACTCTTAGTCATGTTCATGTTTAATAAACACCACGAATGTTAATGCTTATGTTTGCATAAGCGTGTAAACTCAAGCAGCTGGGGGAAAACACAAAAAGTAGGTCAAACACCAGGAGTAAATCCAGTCACACACTCAAGGGAAGAGTGGAGTTCTCAACCCTTTCAGTAAAATCATTCTTAAATGCAAGCTTTCGTGCCCAGTGAAGACACTGAGTTATACGTGAACTAGCTTCCATCAGAAGGAAGATGTTACAGAAAACTCAGGAAGAAAACATTTGTCTAGAATGCCCTTAGCAATAAAGGAAAGACCCTACAGAGTTCAATGGGCAGCAATCAAAGACAGAAGACTTACAGAGGAGAGGACTGATGAGTTGTTAACTAAAACAGGGAAAGATCAGAGAGTGGGCAGCGTGAGGAACACACGGCAGATATACAGCTGACTCAACCAAGAATCTACCAGCTAGAACATGTTCAAATGCCATGCAGCCTTCCTTGAAATTTCCCCTTGAAATTTCCCCATAAATTAACTGAGCTCATACAGGAGGTTTGCAGCAGAAGTTCTGCCGAGTCCTACCCTTGGGTTTTACCAATGAACCATGACACCTTTAGAGGAGGTGAGGCTACTACCTTTACGCTGCCTTCCAAGTGCCAACGAGAGGGACAGAAGCAGGCTGGCTGATGGCAAAGGATGCAGCAAGACAATAAAATTGCAGCGTAACATTTTTCTGTTTCATACATATAAACAAGACTAAAAATACTGTTTTGGCCTGCCAGATCAATTTAGTGTGATCAATACATCAGAGGAAATAAAATAGCAGTTTTTTTTTACGGTACAGGAAATCAGTTAAGAGGCATACACTTACAATGAAAGGACACACTCGTTCCAGTTGGCCCTCAATATTCTCCAGGCATAAGCATTAAATTTGGACTCCAAATAGGCAAGTGATGATTCCAGCTTGCTAATCTAAACAGCGATAGCTTTTCAGAATTAATCTTTTTTCAATTAGCTTTTGTAACTACATGGTATAATAAACTTCCTTGGCATTCACAGCAGGAGGCTGAAATGGATCTTGTAAATTCTCACCTGTTTCTACTCTCCACACACACAAAAAAGAGATTTTAATGGTCTTTAGTATTTTCCCCTAAATTTAAAAAGTATGCATGTTTTTGCATTTGCTGTTTCTGTTACAAATGTACCTCCCTAGCGTACTACACAAGTTATATAAACGTAAACTTTTGGTTAGAAAAAATATTCAAGCAACAAGTTCACAACAGCAGAGCTCATCAGAATTGTGTTTTGGCCCAGTTCATTCCATGACTGTCCTCTCCTCACTCCAACAACCAATCCTTGCTAAAGTGCTTGGCCCCTAACATTTTATATTGATGCCAAATAAAACCACTTTTAATACCAGAATGAGAACAAGGCCATAGTAGTTCTATATTTATCATATTTCATAGTCAGATCTCATCTGTTACTAGACAGTTTTCCACTTATAATGTTTTAGCATGGTCTCTGATGAGTATTTCAGGAAAGCATTTGGATGTTGTGGTAGCAGAGGCCAGGACTCTGATGAATTTGATGGAGAACCACCACCTGAGTACTTCTCTTGTCACTACAAACTAACATTGTGAAAACTAAAGAATAAAACAAGAGAAAAAGTGTTCAGTGAATTTGTCAGTATGAGACTAGTTAAGACAATAAACTAAGTTTCTTTAATGGACAGATATCCATGCAGTTGCCTGTTCCAGAAGACAATGCAGCTGTACTGACACCGCTGAGGACAAGGACTCTCACTTGACAAAAGGAAAGGAACATACCAATTCTCATTTGGAAGTGTACAGCCACATTTCTCAGCTTAAAAATCATGAACTGCCATAGGTCACAGAATAACAGGGGAAGTTAGCATTTCTTTAGAAATGTCACAGGCCAACCAGTGCTATGTTTCTTCTTTGTTCACATAAGGGTCAATTATTAAGGTAAATGGAGTAGGAATCAATTTGATTTCTTTTCTAGTCAAATAGAGCAAGTCAGTGCAAAACTGACCAACTCTTCTTCCATCAAGAACTTGGCAAAGTTAGAAACAACTGAAAATGATAAAAGAAAGCTGGAAAACTGGATTGGAAAAAGAATACAAAAAGAAAACTAACTACTAACAGGTATAGAAGGAGAAAGGACAAGAACACTACAGAAAAACCAATAGATCAAATCTTTTCTCTTGCTCCTCCTAAGATCCCACTCTTTTCACACGGAGCTCAGAAAGCCACTTAAGCTGAACAGCTTCTTAACTCAGGAGAAGTTTAACTGGTTTTAATATATTTTGTGGAATAATGCTCTACTCAGCCCCAATAGGATGATCATGATCAGACCATCATTGAGAACTGCTCAAAGCTTTGCTCAGTAAGAGCTCCTGGGAATTTTCTTTTAATGCTTCTTAGTATTCACTTGATACCGAAATGTTTTATCAAGCTGGTACACTCCAGTGCACAGTCTGCAGCCATTGGTGTGTTGTGGAGAATTGGATATTGGCTGCTATAGGAACTTTTCACACACTCACGTATCACCAGATTTAAGCTCTAGTGGAGCAAGGAATAGAATGCATTTCAGATCTAAAGACACCTCTCAGAAAACATTCTGTTAAGTTCTTCCTCTCTAGTCATGCTGTTTCTCTTGGGGCTTCTATAGATGTTAGGAACCAGGGTTAAAATAAACAAACATGCTTCCTTAGCTGAGGTTCCGGAGAGGTCATACCCCTGTCAATTTTTTCTGCTTACTGCCAGCACTAATGTTCTATCAGGCTTCAGTCATCCCTTCTCCTTCCCTTCAACATCAGCACTTGAGTATATTCCTTATACTATTTGAGACTCCTCCAACAAACACACAACTTGGCACCACCTCTTCCCTCTCTGAATGTACCTGAATCCATGCCCTAACCATCAGTCTGTAGGATCCCCTGCTGTAGTAGTATCTGTCAGTTCTGCTATAGGTGTTCAGTTTTTTATGATACATTTATAACACTCACTGGAGCAAATACTGAGACTCAAATCCCTTCTCCCACTGACCAGGCTCAAGGACAGATCTCAATCAAGTAGGTCTTATACTCCATGACTGATGCTGGAGCCAAAACAGAGTAACACTACTACCTCTTTCTTTTCTGTCTCCCTTTGCCACACCTCTCTTCTGAAAAGACTGACTCTCTTGGTTCTCTTACCCCTCACTTTTCAGGATCAGGGCCTGGGTACCAAACTCTAGCTATCAGTACTGTATCATGGTTCTCCACAGGTGAACATCTGTAGTTTGGAACACAGGATTCAGCACTGTTTGATTTTAATATCCAGACGAAATTTTGAGATGGGATTCAGGAAGGAGACAATTCTGTTGAAGGATCACAGCAAAACAGATGCTTCACGTAGAGGACATGCACATGGGGCTAGCACAGAGCCACTGTTCATGCTGTAGAGATATGAGATGCAGCAGGAGAGAGAGCAGCTCTCTAGGATTTGTTTTGCTGAAGCGATTCTGAAGGCAAGAGCATAAGTGGCCTGTTCCTGGTCAAACGGACAGTACTCATGCCTTGCACTTATGCAGGCTGGCAGAATTCACACTAGCGTACAATGGCAAAAGAACTGCAAATGCCAAACTGCAAGGAGTTGCTGGTACAGCAATGACAGGGGTAAATTATGCTGACAGCTGCTTCATTTCAGTTTCATGCTCAGAACAAATTCTGAATTTGTTCTGACATTAGTGGAAACAAATTAATCTTCCCCTAGTTTACTGCATGAAATTTAGTGCTTGCACAGTGAAAAAGAAAAGATACTTTCAGTCAGCTGCAATACCTCAAAATCCCACTAAAATGATTAAAGTTATTAGTGCCTCTTCAGAAAAACTGCTTCAGATTGCCATGCTGGCTGATTTATAGCTTTACTCATGAGAATCACAAGGCTTCCAGATGACCAGAATCTTCTCTTTCCTTCTGCCTCTTCTAGGCATTATGATAAACCTATTGTGCCTGAAGAGATGGGGAAATAAAAAGACCGAGCTGACATGGAGGCAAGCATGCTGACACAACTCACAAAGGTAAGCCACAGCTGCATGGCACAGAGGTTACTGTTAAGAGCGTAATTCAAATGAGTCCTTTCAAAACCCTGTTAAACCCCACAACACGCCAATTTTC